GTTCTCACTTATGTCAGACTGCATTAATGTAAAACAACAACAACACATAACTTGATCTTACAATTCTGGTAAATTCAATGATCAACAGTAACTATGCTTAATAAATTACGTACATGTATTAGTTGTTAACTCATGTTAACTAAGTAAATTTTGTTGTGAAGGGTGGTACCATTTAGACACTCATGAATGTTTTAACTACTGTGAAACTACTGTGTACTTACACTGAAAATACACTAAATCTGCCCTCTTAAAATACAGTGAGGAACCGTTGTTGATACACAGGAACTACCATGTACTTACACTAAAAATACACAAAATCTGCCCACTTAAAATACAGTGAAAAACCGCTGTTGATACACAGGAACTATCGTGTACTTGCAATGAAAATACACTAAATCTGCCCTCTTAAAATACAGTGAGGAACCGTTGTTGATACACAGGAACTACTGTGTACTTACACTGAAAATACACTAAATCTGCCCTCTTAAAATACAGTGAAGAACCACTGTTGATACACAGGAACTACCGTGTACTTACACTGAAAACACAAAAATGGTCCCACTTTATATTGTATGTACACACTGGTACATAGTAACTACTTGTGTAGTACTGGTGTAACTACACACATGTAACAGCCCACTGAATAGTATGTGTAAGTACAAATGTGTAACAGGACATTGGTAACAACACTAAGAAAGTACACATCTGTAACAAGAATTATGTAAGTGCATTGTGTAACAACAGTATGTACTTGCAGGTGTTTTCTTACTTCCACATCTGTTTGCATACCATGTACTTGTGAACATCGTATGACAGAAATAAAGCTTCATTAGAAGGTCTCACCTTGTAATACCAGTGTATTTACAGGGTAAATCCACATAAGCTGTCCACTCAATATAAAGTGTAAAATAGTCACAAATTACTCTTTAACTTGTAAAATATCCTCTGTGCAACACTTTATTAACAGTGTACTTACATGGTATCTCCACAGGAACTGTCCACTCAATATAAAGTGTAAAATAGTCACAAATTACTCTTTAACTTGTAAAATATCCTCTGTGTAACAGTTTAGTAACAGTGTACTTACATGGTAACCCCACAGGAACTGTCCACTCAATATAAAGTGTAAAATAGTCACAAATGACTCTGTAACTTGTAAAAAATCCTCTGTGCAACACTTTATTAACAGTTTACTTACATGCTAACTCCACAGGAACTGTCCACTCAATATAAAGTGTAAAATAGTCACAAATTACTCTTTAACTTGTAAAATATCCTCTGTGCAACACTTTATTAACAGTTTACTTACATGCTAACTCCACAGGAACTGTCCACTCAATATAAAGTGTAAAATATTCACAAATGACTCTTTAACTTGTAAAATATCCTCTGTGCAACACTTTATTAACAGTGTACTTACATGCTAACCCCACAGGAACTGTCCACTCAATATAAAGTGTAAAATAGTCACAAATTACTCTGTAACTTGTAAAAAAAATCCTCTGTGCAACACTTTAATAACAGTGTACTTACATGGTAACCCCACAGGAACTGTCCACTCAATATAAAGTGTAAAATAGTCACAAATTACTCTGTAACTTGTAAAAAATCCTTGGTGTAACACTTTATTAACAGTGTACTTACATGGAAATTCCACAGGAACTGTCCACTCGATATAAAGTGTAAATTTGTCACAAATTACTATGTAATATATAAAACATAATCCTCCGTGCAACTGCTTAACAACAGTGTACCTACATGGAAACTACTCAGAAACCGTCCACCCAATGTGTACATACTGTATGTAAATAAAGTGTAACATTTTTTTATTTTTAAGTGTACTAGCAAAATGGTCACAAACTACTGTGTAATATAAATCCAAATCGAACACATTAACAGTGTACTGACATGGTAACTTCTCATGAACTGTCCCTTCATGTCCTCATATAACTGTAGCAAGGGAAAATGCATGGTGAATCCAAAGGTATATTTAGTATGTACTGTAACTTTGTTGCATTGCAGTTTCAATGTTCTAGCAAAGTAACAGAATATTGTAATTAGGGGCCAAGCACCGTAGGTGCGTAGGCACCTATTGCTTTCGTTAGTGTTCTTCTTATTATTAGGGGCCAAGCACCGTAGGTGCGTAGGCACCTATTGCTTTCGTTAGTGTTCTTCTTCTTCTTATTATTATTATTATTAGGGGCCAAGCACCGTAGGTGCGTAGGCACCTATTG